GCCGTGCGCGAGGCAGGAGGGGGCTGCTCGCCTGCCCGCCTGGCTTAGCGCCGGGCAAGCACAGCACACCCTTCCTCCACCTCCAACTCTTTGTAGCTCGGAGCCCTCTCCCAACCCCCATTGACTCACGTACAATAAATTTCTCCTCCATTAACATGACAGGTTTTTTTTTAACCCCACATAGCTGTTTCCAAGGCCCAACAACCAGCAAGGACTTTCAGCGTAACTGTGGTGCCGGAAAGAACACATACTTTTGTTTGCCTTTGTTATCTGTCAGCTTCTTTCAGCAGCCCTAGCATTTCCCCCCCCCCCCTTGCTGAAGACTGAAGATGGCGTTTACAAAGCGTTCGGCAGGCAGCGCGGCAACACTGTATGGTAAAAAACAGTTGGGGCAAGGAGGGTGAGGTGACCAAAAGCATCTCCAGCTCCACAGGCTTGCTCTAAAAATGACAGACTTGACCCAGATAGGCTACTTGCCCCCAGGAGATAAATATGTGCTACAGCCATGGCCTCTGCTTTGCTATGGATGGTTTAGCTGCGCAATATGATTTCTTTATAAGTAAATTACAAAAATATTCATTAAGATGGAGTTTAGCTTATTACCTCGCAACAGGGCCTATTTTCGGCCTGTGACCTTCTCAAAGTGGCTATGCAAATAGTAAAGAAACAAGGAAGTCGGGAGCTAAGATCACTGTCTTATGACCTTTGTTTTTGTACACCCACATTCACACTAGTTCTCTCTTCCCTTATATTTTTTTTTAAATGCACACGTGTGTGTGTGTGTTCGCACACGCGCGTGTGTGTGTGTGAGTGCACATGTGTGCGCAAGCAAGCTCCTGTGTGTTAAAAAAAAAAAAAAAAGGATATTCTCACACAGGATCTGTGGGCTCCAAATCATTATCCTGGTTTTCTAATTGCATTTTGCATATTTGTGGGTATATATATATATGTATATGCAACATTCCTCACTTTTCCCCCCAGGGTTTTGAAGCTGTCTGAAACATTGAAAATCTATTAAGAGACCCTTGTTACAAAGACAATGCTTATCCTTTTTTAAACTCAGCAGTCCATATACTTCCAACTGGAACTATTAGTATTGAATAAAAAAAAGATATACACCAACCCTTAATCTTCCAAAATAGAGAATTGACAGCTATTGTACTGCTTTTACACTCAAACACAAAAACAGACCTACTTTTTTTAGATGGCACTGTAAGCTATTCGCAGTGCTATAAAAAGAGCTACTTGTTTTGGACAAGGACCTGAAGTGAAGAGGCTGTGCAGGAAGATGGGTCACGATGGGCAGACAGAAGAAGAGAGACCACTTGAGCTCTTCAGTGGTGTCAAATATAGTTGTTCCTCCCACTATAATCAAGTCACTACCTGAGATTTTTTTTTTCTTCTTTTTTTAAATTTGTAAGCAAAATTTGTTTCCAGTCTCTATCAGCACTTAATGGAAAACAGAACATGAGCTCCAAGTACACTCTACAGGTTTCAAAATAGGCAAGGAAACACAAAGCTAAACAAAGTTCTTTAAAAAAACAAACATGTATTTCAAAGCAAATTTTATCATAATTATTTTAGGAGAAGAGAACAGATCAATTCTTTTGAACGGCTGATGATGGTAATGTAAGCTCTCATACAGAGAAAGTGTGTGTGTGTGCGTGTGCGTGTGCGTGTGCGTGTGTGTGTGTGTGTGTGTGTGTGTTGGAGATGGGGGAAGAAGGCTGTAGGACAGCTCAGCTGGAAATTTCAGTTACCCGAGTGCTGAGGGCCCTTTCTGCTATTAGCAGGTTGGACTGCTGCAGCTGCCATTGCTGGAGGCACCACAGAGCTGTTTTAACTAGGGGGAGAACGCCTCTTTTCGAACAGCCCACACCTGGAATTTCTGTACCAGTGTCAAGAGGCGGTCGAAGAGCACGTTGTATTACTGCGACTACTTACACAAAGCCTGTATTTGCCACCCTTGCTGCCAAGCTCCTAGTCGTACTTACGTCCCTCAGGTAGTCGCAATCCTCACAACAGCTCCTCCAGACTGCTGCATGCCTGCGCTGCAAGAGTCCCTCAGCCGCGGTCAGGTTACATCAGTTTTGTGCTGTTTGTTAAGTGTGAGAAGAGCAGGAGAGTGAAAGGGCAGAGGGTTATGAGTCTCTTAAATAGTCATTTATTAAAAGGAAACTTCCTTTTACATTATTAGATAAGTTTCTATCATTCAAAAGGTGGTGATTCAACAAAGGCAGAAAAATAATTCATTTAAATAATACTGGCACTGAACAGGAGTATGTACTTTAGTCATCATCCCTGCTGCACTGGCAGCTTTTACCTGCCTTTCTTCAGGTTCTGGAAACATCTTCCTAAACTACAAGGAGCTGCTTTTAGTATGTTCTTCAACATATTTTCAGCCCCTTCGATTTTGCAGCTTGGGG